CTCTCATTTTTTAAAGCCTCCAAAACTTTCCTCTAGAAGTAACTAACACTTGAATAAGTGGATATCCCTATCTGGAAAGATCGAGTATTGTAATGATGTCAGTTCTCCCCCAGTTAAGTTATACATTTAACACATTTTAATTAAAATCCCAGTGGTAGATTATCCCAATCAGAAAAATGATTCTGTAGTTAAAAAACAGGAAGAGAACACATGCGAGATTGATCCAGAACATTTGGGAGGGAAGAGGAGCATGGGAATGTGATGTGAATAGATTTCTGGCAGGAGTTGTGAATATGTATTACAAAGCTCCAGTGGTTGAAACATTGTGAACTAACTCAGAATAGTATAACAGCATGTAAAGTTCAGAAGCTGATAGAAGTGTATAAAAACATTTCATATTTGAGCAAAGGAGGTACTTCAAATGACTGAGAAAGTTCTTGGGACAAAAGCTATAGAGTAAAGAAAATAAACTCATATCCCTATGTCATATCATGTACTAAAATGAATTTTGGATGTAAAACATAAAATACAAAAAATAAAATCGTAAAATAAGTAGTAGAAAACACAGGTGAATATTTAATAAATTTGAGATGTGAAAAATAATTCCAGGTGTGACAGCAAAGGCAGAAGCCATGAAAGTAAAATATTTACATTCTTGACTGCAGAGCCTAAGAAAAGTTTGTATATCAAGAACACCATGAGCATTAATGAGAGACAAATGTAAACAAAGAAAATGTTTGCAGCATGTGTGAAACAGAATTAATACTTGCATTCATATAAGAAGAAAAGCTCAGTCTCCCCCACAATTCAAAGAAATGCAAAGTAAAATAGTAATGAGAAATGGTGATTCCATTATCACAGTGTAAAGATTATTTTTAAATTATCATACCTAGGTTTGGTGAGAGTTAAATGGCCCTTTCTACTTGAACTGGTAGAAAAGTCAAATGATAAAATCTGTCTGGTTGATAATTTTTCAATATTCATAAAAGTGTTAAAAATGTGAACACAAATATGGTCCATTTAAGGAACTAGCTGTGCCAAGACATAGGCAAAGCCTTGCCTTTAACAGTGAAAAACTGGAAATGATGCAGCCCTAAACAGTAAAGCAGGTGCACGGGTTAGTAGGTTGGAAACCACCAGGCTGTGATGGGAGGAGGTGAGGGGAAACAGGAGAGTTCTGGGGTAAAGGAGCCTGGAAGGATGCAGTGCCCCAAATCAGATAGGTGGTGGAGAGATGGGGAGCAGTGCTCGTCAGGAGGCTGATGCTCAGACCCAGGCATGCTAGTTTTGAACAAGTCCCCTCCACTCACAACTTTGCTAATAAATCTTGCTAAGGATGTTACTGACACCACCCGTATCTAATTGGCCTCCTGCACTCTCCTCTCTAAGGTCCTAATTTCCTTCTGACTCAAGGGCCAAAAAGGAAACAAATCTAGTCTAAGCATCCCTTCCCTCTGGCCTTATTAGCAGAGATGCAGACGACAGTCGGCAAATCCCTTCTTCCCACGCCCCTGGGCTGCATTAGCCTGAACTCTCATTTGGGTGCTAATTAGAGGATCCTGTTTGCAGAACTTGCAAGGACTTCATCTCCCAATCCTGACCCTGGGTGTCTCCATGGGCACCCTCGTCAGAGCCGTTGCTAGATTGGTGTGCCTCCTGAGGCCCTGCCGAGCTGGGGAAATCAGTGAAGTTTATCCATTGGTTGCCTCTTGTCTAACAGACAAAAAGACACCGAAGTGTTTTAGGACCTGAGAGATGAGTCATGCTCCCTCTCAGTGTCCGTGGGGGGCAGGGCAGCAGCTTCTTTCTACAGGCCTGAGCAGCTCACGAGCTCATTCATGGGAAGTGAGGGCCAGCATGGTACAAAGGGCACAGCACTGCCTGGGAAGGCTGGGGCTTGGGGCAGTGAACCCCTGTGATGGCCCTTATTAGAGAGAGGGCACAGACTCTAGAAATACGGCAATGCCTACTCAAAACCCAATGGAATTTTATCATCTCCTTCTATGCTATACTTGTCAACTCAGTAATTCTGTATTTCACGTCACTTAATGCTTAGAATAATCATTTGAAGTGCATGCTGTAATTCTTGAGTCATAGATGAGAAAACTGGTGCCCGCAGAGGGGACCCACCCTGGCTGACGTCACACAGCTCGCTGTAGCAGTGTTAGCCTGGCCGGCAGCTCTCCAGACCCCTAGGACCAGTGCTTCCTGATGGACCACAGCTGATTGCACGCAGCAAGAGCTTGGGCTTCTCAGCCAGCTGCCTGGCATAGAAAATGCTTGCTTTATATTTACTTTTCTTTATATCTTGCCTTGGACAACTACCTGTAAATACCAAATAAAGGTCTAGAGTCTTTTAGGACCCTCATATCATTATCTTCCCAGATCCTACAAACATAATTCTATTAACAGGATTAGATATTTTCTGACTGATGTTCCAAGATTCCTTCCCAAGCTCATATCTTTCAGCTTCAATTATTGCTACCTCTCAGGCCTTCACATCCCTGCCTGGCCGGCCCACTGCTGCCACTTCCAATGTGGGCATCCTTCCAGATGCTAAAGCCTAAGAGCCAACTTTCACCCATGTGCATGAACTGTGCCTGAGTTTATAACCTGTTTCCAAGGGACTAGGAACAATGAATAAAAGTGAAGGGATGTGTGAGTCACCCAATAAGCAAAAGCCTTCCCTGACTGACAGGCTGTGGCTGAGAGACAAAGATTGAGTGGAGAGGCCAGGAAGACATGATGGAGGGTGGGGGGTACACGGTGAAGTCTTGATCCAACACAGTGGGGAACCACCAGGCTGTGATGGAGGAGGTGAGGGGGGACATTTTCCTTGTTTACATTTGTCTCCCCTTTGTTTACATTGTCTCTACCAAAGAAATGAGTAGCCTTTCAGGACAGAATGACACGGGACAGACACTGCTCTGGGGGTTAATTGGGCAGTGTGGGCAGCAGTGAGGGGAGCAGGGGCACAGGCTCAGGGACTGTTACAGGGCACCCCCCTCCTGCCCAGTGGACCTGGACACCCAGGCTGGCATGTGGAGGCATCTCCCTCCCACCCGCCCAAAGACCAGAGCGTGGGTGTGAGAGACTCACAGAGAATTCTCAGGGACTCAGTGGGTGGCTGGATTTGGAGAGTGACTAGATGCCTCCATTTGACTGGAAATTTTCTCAGATACCTTCAGGGTTCTTCAAGCAACTGATAAACATGACAGGTAGGGTCACTCTTCTCAGACTTCCAACTTCTGAACCAGTCTGAAATGGTTCACAGAAAATATTGTAGAAATGGCCATGACAGCAGGCGAAATCAGCTGTCATTCTGTAGGCCTTGCCTCTGGATTGCCGTACTTCTCTGCTCCTTTGGTAAAATTGTGGGTTCTAGAACTCATTCACTAGTAAACTGCAAACATCTCCCTCTATTTTCCCTTCCTTCCCCACCTTTCCTAATTACCTACACATATTAAACAGAAGTCCCAGTATAAATCAGTGTATTTTGCCATTAAAAATAAAAATAAATCTTAATATTCTTTTTTTCTTTTTTGGCATGGGAAAGGGACAGAATCTGAATGGTTTTTATTTATATTATCATTTTTTATTTATTTTTCTTTTTAAAATTCTTAATCCCCTTCATCTAATTTGCCAATCCCCAGCCCCCTTTCCATATGGCTGTTTTGTTTCTGTATTTATGAATCTGTTTCTGTTTTTGTCCATCTGTTTTTTTGTTTTTGTTTATTGGATTCCATATATGAGTGAAAACATATGCTATTTCTTTTTCTGACTTACTTCACTTAACATAATATCCTCTAGGTCCACCCACGTTGTCACAAATGGCAAAATTTTGTTCCTTTTCATGGCTGAGTAATATTCCATTGCATATATGTACCACCTCTTTATCCATTCATCTATTGAAGGACACTTAGGTTGCTTCCATACCTTGGCTGTTGTAAATAAGGCTGCAATAAACATAAGGGTGCATGTATCTTTTTGAATTTGTGATTTTGTTTTCTTTGGGTAAATACACAGAAGTGGGGTTACTGGGTCATATGGCCTTTCTATATTAAATTTGGAGTGGAACCTCCACACTACTTTTCACAGTGGCTGCACCAATTTACATTCCACTAAGTGCGTGAAGGTTGTTCCTTCTCTTCACCCTCTCCAACACTTGTTGTGTCTTGTCTTTTGGCTAGTGGTCATTCTGACTGGCATGAGGTAGTATCTCACAGTTTTCATTTGCATTTCCCTGATGATTAGTGATGTGGAGCATCTTTTCATGTGAGTGTTGGCCAACCGTATTTCTTCTTTGGAAAAATGTCTATTCAGATCCTCTGCCCATTTTTAAATTAGATTATTTGTAAAGCTTGGTTATTCTTAATGCCTGAGACATGATGATACATTCTTGTGTTTTTGGTGGAGGAGCTGTGACAGTCAGTAATGATACTAGATTTGATGCTCCCATGGGTGATCAGTCAGGATGGGGACACTGGTTTGGGAACAGGTATGTGATAATGTTGCTCTGAAGAAGATGTTGGCAGCCTGCTCCTGGGCGATGCCAAACCCCAATTTAATTGCATGATCCTAAGTTTATTTCATGAAGAAGAATCTTTTTAAAACAGACCCCTCACTCTGGTACAAATGTATTTTATCTTTAAAGGTGGTGGTGGGAGGGGAAAACATTTTGTATTTATTAACATTTTAAATATATTTCAGTTGAACAGCCATTATATTTTGTAAAAAGTTTGTGTCCCACATCCGGATCCACATTATAACTCTCCCACTTGTCCTTTTTCCTCTATCAGCAACTTGATACTCTTTTTCATAAGCTTTAGTTTTTCTACCCAAATGCAGGGCAAACCATGTTCTACCCTGGCCCACACAATCTACTTTCCTCCCATCCTTCAACTCAACCTTCAAGAGTCCCTCTGCCCACAGGCACGCCTTCAGCGTAAGAAAGTCAGGGGGTGCTCAACGAGGAAGGGGCCTCTGATGTCGCTGGCCTGTCACTCGGGGGCTTGCCTCCCCGTGAGCACCCACTGCAGGGCGCCCTGCACGTCAGGGTTCCGGAGGCTGTAGATGAGCGGGTTCAGCATGGGGCTGAGGATGGTGTTGAGGATGCCAATCCCCTTGTCCTTGTCTGAGACTGACACTGAGCCCAGGCGCATGTAGCTGAAGAAGCCAGTTCCATAAAAGATGCAGACCATGGTGAGGTGGGAGCCGCACGTGGAGAAGGCCTTCCTCCTGCCCTCGGCTGAGCGGATTTTTAGCACTGCAGCTGCCACGTGGGCATAGGATACTGAGATGAGGATCATGGGGAGCACCCCCATGAAGGTGGCCCCCACAAAAAGCAGCTGCCTGTTGAGGTGGGTGCTGGAGCAGGAGAACTGGAAAACGGGTGGGAGGTCGCAGTAGAAGTGGTTGACCACATTAGGGCCACAGAAGTCAAGCACGGACACAGCCACTGTGTGAGTCAGAGCATTGATGAAGGAGATGGCGCAGCAGATGTCCACCAGGGCACCCTGGACTTCACGGCTCATGCGGGTGCTGTAGATGAGGGGCCGGCAGATGGCCAGGTAGCGGTCATAGGCCATGGCTGTCAGGAGGTGACAGTCCACGCCGGCCAGGAGCTGGAAGAAGAAAAGCTGTGAAATGCAGGCCGCATAGGGAACTCCACACTGATGGGCCAAGAGACATGCCAGCATTGGAGGGACCATGACGGTGATGCAGCCAACGTCCAGCATGGACAGGTTCCCCAGAGAAGTACATGGGGGTGTGGAGCTTGGGCTCCACCAGGATGGCTGCCAGGATGCTGAGGTTGCCCCCAACTGTGAGCAGGTAGGCAAAGAGGAAGAGGGCAAAAAGGATGGGCTGCAGTTGTATGTTCCCTGTTAGGCCAAGAAGGATGAACTCAGTGACCGTTGTCCTGTTCCCGAAGGCACCTGGATCCATTGACTACGGTGGAGAGCTGTAGCGGGAGAAGACCTGGGCCTGCCAAAGTGGGAGAGACACATAGTGGGCACTTAACCTGTGTCCACTGGACTGTAAGTAAGATGGCATAGGCGCCTGCCAGTCAGAGGGTCATGGATACCAGCCTAGAGCTGGAATGGGCTCCTGGAGGCCCCTGTGAGGCAAACACTAACCCTCTCATTGCTGGTTGGCACTGAGGCCATGGGAATCCCTGGGAGGGTGCTGGGGCACAGGGAACTAACTACTCAGGAAACCCAGGCTGTGGCTATTTATGAAAATGGTCCAGAACTGTCTGAGTATTTTAGCAACTATTAAGGCCATATCAGTGTATACTGACTGAATAGCGGCTCTGACTAGCTCAACAGGTAAACAAGTGTATAATAAGGTTCCAGAAAGCACAATATGGAAAAGTAGCTATATATATTAGGGTAGGAGGATGAGATCTTACAAAATCAAAAAGTATTAGGAAAGAGAGTGAGCAAAGAGGAGCAAGGAGCCAACCAAAGCCCAGAAATACACAGGCTAAAATGGAAGACATGAAAGTGATTTAAGAACATACTCACATTTTTCAGGTGTGAGTATTTAATACTGAGTATTGTGCTAAGCACTTCATATTAATTTTTTCATTTAATTCTCACAAAGCCCTATGGAGTAACTACTATTATCTCACTGTAACCAGGGTACTGAGATTTGGAAAGGTTTTTTAAGGTTTATTATTATGTAAGGGTAGCCTAAGGTTGTGAAGCTCTTGACAGAGCTAGGTCTCAAACCTGGGACTGTCTGACTCCCAAGCCCACACCTTAACAGTGTATTGCCTCTTAAAGAACTTGGATGCCATTTGCAACACAGATGGACTTAGAAGGTATTATGCTAAGTGAAGTTAAGCCAGGTGGAGAAAGGCAAATATTGTGTGATTTCAGTTATATGTGGAAACAAAACAAATAAACAAAACAGAAATAGACTTGTAAACACAAAGAATGGACTGGTGCATGCCATAGAGAAGGGAGGGGTTGGGTGAAATAGGTGAAGGGGACAAAGAGGTACAAAATTCCAATTATAAAATAAATTAGTCATGGGGATAGAAGTGCAAAATAGGGAATATAGTCAATAATAGTGTAATATCTTTATATGTTGACAGATGATAACTACACTTATTGTGATGAGCATTTAATAATGTATATAAGTGTTGTATCAGTATGTTGTACATCTGAAACCAATATAATATTGTACATCAACTATATTTCAATAAAAAACAATCCAGAACAAACAGAAAGAAACTGGACATGTGTTGTTACTGAGACTATAAATGAGACTAGGTGTGATGAAGAATGGTATTCTTAAGACTTTAGGTCTTAGCATCATTACAGCTATTCAAGGAACTCAGGGTCCCATCAGTTCATCCTTTCATTCAATATTTTCATTCACGAATACATCCAGTCTATTTGTTGAATGTAGAGTAGGATTCTGGATATATTTTTGATGGTAGAACTAACAGCCGGGGCATGTGGTGTGAGGGAAAGAGAAGGTGCAGGGGTGTTTCTAGGTTATGTTTTCTATCCAAACCCCATGCTTGGGCAAACCTCACCTCTACCAAGGGCTAAGCAGATGCAGAGCGGAGTGTAAGCCTGCTTCACCCTGAACAGGAGATGCACCTCTCTTGGAGGCTGCCCCTCCAGAAGGCTGGAAGGAGAGCAGGTAGGGTTTCTCCATGAAAGGCAGCTTTCCTGACCATGGTCTGTGAAAGTGACAACATAGGAGGAAAGATGCCCTCACCTTCAAGGAGGTCACCCATCTGCGAAGGAAGGCTTGTGAATGCACAGTTCTCAGAGAGGTTGACAGGCTGAATCCACCCAGATGTAGAAAGACCTGTGAAGAAGAGAGCGTTCAGCTGAATGGTTGTTAGGAGACAGTGAACCAGGAGAAAGCTCTCTGGGCTACAGGAAACAGAGGGCCTGAGTGGAAGCCATCCGGGTCTGATGAAGGAGACAAGACACAAAGGTAACATGACCTCAGATTTCATCCATGTCAACAGTTACGACAAGTTAACAAACTTCCTTAAGAAAAAGGACTTGCTTCCATCAACATCAGCCACCACATCAACAAAAAGGACAAAAACTACATGATCATCTCCATAGATGCTGAAAAAGCATTTGACAAAATTCAACATCCATTCGTGATAAAAACTCTCAACAAAATGGGTGTAGAGGGCAAGTACCTCAACATAATAAAGGCCATATATGACAGACCCACAGCCAACATCATACTGAAAGCTTTTCCTCTAAGATCGGGAACAAGACAGGGATGCCCACTCTCCCCACTGTTATTTAACATAGTACTGGAGGTCCTAGCCATGGCAATCAGACAAAACAGAGAAATACAAGGAATCCAGATTGGTAAAGAAGAAGTTAAACTGTCACTATTTGCAGATGACATGATATTGTACATAAAAACCCTAAAGACTCCACTCCAAAACTACTAGAACTAATATTTGAATTCAGCAAAGTTGCAGGATACAAAATTAATACACAGAAATCTGTTGCATTCCTATACACTAATGATGAACTAGCAGAAAGAGAAATCAGGAAAATAATTCCATTCACAATTGCATCAAAAAGAATAAAATACCTAGGAATAAACCTAACCAAGGAAGTGAAAG